AACAAATAAATAAAAATGGATGCTATCCCAGTCCCTTGGATGTTTTGGATTGTTAATACATTTTTCATTACAGCCTGAGAATTGATTTATTTTCTAAGATGATTAAAACCTGAATTCATATTTATCTTGTACATTATGTACATTTTCAAGCCCACACATTTTCTTTGCATTTAATATAGATCTTTTTTCTCCAGTTCAAGCTATTGTGTATGTGTGTGTGTTGGGGGGGGCGGTTAATTGGAGATAAAACTCTCAAGGACATTCCTGCTCCAGCTTTGAACTGAAATCCTTAGATCTCAGCCTCCAGAGTAGCTAAGATTACAAGGCATAAACCACTTCTGCCCAGCAGGAATGGAATTCTAAATGAGCTTGGAAGTGGATTCCTCCTCTCTAGAAGGTCATACTGCTTTTACTTTGCTTATGACCTTGTGAAACCCTGAGCAGAGACCTAATCATGCCTTTCAAGAGTTCTGATCTAGGGCTGGGAAGGTGGCTCAGTGGTAGAGTGCTTGCCTTGCAAGCATGAGGCCCTCTGTTCGATTCCTCAGCAACACATAAACAGAAAAAGCCAGAAGTGGCTCAAGTGGTAGCATGTTAGTCTTGAGCTGAAAAGCTCAGGGACAGTACCCAGGCCCTGAGTTCAAGCCCCACGATTGACCAAAAAAAAAAAAAAAAAAAGTTCTGATCTATAGAAAATGAGAGAATAAGTAAATGTCTTAAGACTTTGAGGTTGCTGTGATTTGTTACACAGCAAGAGTAAACTAATAAGGTGAGTTTTGGTCATTATAAACAACTTGGTCTAGCTTATTTGCATTTCAAAAAACTGTCTTCCTTAAGATGTAATGTCCCCTTCGTCTTGAATTTTAGTTGGACGTGGATGAAGTGTATTTCTTAGCCTATCTTCCTGATTTGGTGGAGCCAGATGTGACTAAATTCTAGGCAATGAAAGTTACCAGAAATGTTGAGTACAGGCTGGGCACCAGTGGCTCACACCTGTAATCCTAGCTACTCAGAAGGCTGAGATATGCGGATAGTGGTTCAAAGCCATCGTGAGTATGAGACTCTTATCTCCAATTAAATGGCAAACAAAACCAGACCAAATCAACCAAACAAAAAACAGCCAGAAGTGGAGCTATAGCTTCAGTGGTAGAGCACTATCTTTGTGCAAAAAAGTTCAGGGACAGCACGTAGGCCCTGAATTCAAGCCTCAGGACTGGCATACACACACACACACACACAAAATGGTAGGTACAACTTTCAGAAAGCTTTTTTTTTTTTTTTGAAAAGAGTGTACCTTTCCTTCTTCCTCGGCTGATACAATGGCTGGAGCCCAAGGAGCCATCTTGGGTCAAAAGATGGTATGCTAAAGATGGTAGATATTGCATTTTGATTATCATAAAGTGAAAATCCACCCCAGTACTCTTTATTTGCAGAATAATCTCTTACCTTGTTTAAGTCTTCTTGGTCACCAAGTATTGTCAAATAGTGAAAAAAAAAATCCTTTTAACAGTTCCAGGGATCAAATCCAGAGCCTCATGAAAATCACCATATTTATACTGTCATACTTCCACTCTATTATTTTCAATCACAAATTCACATTTGCATTTCATTTTAACTTAAGCATTACTAAATCCTTTATACTTGACTATAACACACAGTGTTACATTTATTCCCTTCACAAAATACCGTACTTGTTTGTATCCTGTACATGCTACATCTCTGTTCTAGTGAAGCTATAGTGTCTCATCTATCACCCTTCTCTAGTTGCTACAGTGATAGGTTCACCCATTCTGGACCATTAGGACTGTAGGATAAAAGACAGTTTATGATACAGGCAGCAAAGTGGTTGGAAGGACAAATCACAGAATTGCAGCAAATAGGCAATTTAGGATGAAGAATAAGCACAACTCAGGAAGAAAAAGAGAAGCAGTAGGGCTGCAGAAAATACAGTAGAGGTAACAGTGAGAGGTGGAGGAAGAAGGTGATAGTCACAATAGAGAGACTGAAGCTTGGACTTCAAAAGTGGGGGTCACTAGGAGGTAGCCAAACAAGAGGATGATCCACATACACCTACCTCTATCTCTAGCTGTATCGAGTATCTCTGCTTAACAATCTTGTTGGCCAGAGCAAAAGTCTAGGGGGTGGGATTGGGGGTGGGATGAGGCAAGGGACAGAGTCCACTTGGGACCTGGCACATAGGGATCCCTGACTGCTGGCTATCCCAGTCTAGCTACACAATGCGGATCCTGTTTAAGCTGTGCCCTCTTTCTGTCCCAACAGCCTGGGACTCTACACTGTTTTGTGGTCCTGCCCACACTCCTGCTTGTAACTGAGCCTCCTTCTAGTCTGTATGGTGCTTGGCTGAGATACCGATGCTGGTATTCCTCACAGGAAGGAACCTGCAGGGTACACTCAGGCACTCAGGCCAGTCCATCTGGGCACCAGTGGGAGACTATTAAGCTTACCTGAGCCAACTGTCCCCTAATAGCACTGAGCAGGAGGGAGGCTGGGATGGAGAAACATGGGAACAGAGACTGAGCAGTAGTGTAGGACTCCTTCCTACCAAATCCTTCCCTGAGCCTTGGGTGGCAGGCAGGAAGAGGTGTGGCATGAGGCTGGGAGGGCAGCTGTGGGGGGGGGGGGTGGATGCTGAGAAGGGGGTCCAGGGCTGCAGATGCCACAGTCCTGCTCTATTCTTAACCTTGGGTGTTTGGCACAGAATCTCATGCGAGGAGAAGGGTATAGACAGCTTGAGATAGTCTCTCCTGTTCCAAAGATGCTGTTTCTGGGGTAGAGGATGGCAGAGAGCAGTGATGAGGAGCTGGATTTCTGTCTTTCCGAGGATGGGACCCTCAGAGTGGGAAGATGAGGAAGCCAGAGAAGCTTGAATACTTCCAGCCACCCAGCAGATTTCCCCGACGAAGGCGCAGGGACACCCGGTCCCCAGGATCCAGGGGAAGCAGCACAGAGCTTGTAGCTGCCTCTCGGGTCACATCAGGGTCATTGGCAAAAGCAGAGATGACAGGCCATGTGTTCAACATCAGGCTCACCTGGAGAGGGAAGCCTAGTTAGTTATCTATGACCTCGCCCAGCTCAGGACACTCACTTGCCCAAGGGTGTTCTCTTGTGGATCTGGGACTTGGTGGACTCTCCTGGCAGGGGCTGCAGGATGACCAGCAATGAACTGTACAATCTTCCACTCTGTGGTACACAGCACCTTTTCTCCCTTGCTGGTAGCATCCAAGGTCCCCTTCCCTTTCTCCTGAGCTAGGGATGGAGCCCAGGGCTCAGATTACCTGAACTGTTTGGCGGTTGTACACCTTCACCACATGGAACCGGAAACTATAGACTCCTCGAACAGGTGCCACGAAGGAGCCGGAGGTCCGATCAAAGCCTCCTCCCTCATTCACCAGCACCTAGGGGGAAGCAGATCCCATTGAGTGGGGCTCAGGGACGCCTGTGTCCCTGATATTGTGGGGCTGGAGTGAGAAGGAAGGAAGGAAGGGGTGTGAGTAGGAGTCAACAGGAACATCCTGATTCAAAAGAAATGGAGAAAGGTAAGGAGGGTGGGAAGGGAAGATGTAGAGTTGTTCTCTTAGTCTAAGGATAGCAGGTGGGCTTAGACATTGATTGTAGGTCATTGCAGGTCCCCTAGACAGGGCTGGGGAATTACCTGATCGAAGTAGATGGCTCCAGTGGTGCCATTGTTGCTGGTTTCCCCTGCTGGCTCATGATGGTGGCTTCGGACTGCAGCAAAAGCAACCCGACCTGGGGGTGCCTCTCCCAGGGCTGCTCCCCCGGGTCCCCCTGCAGCAGCTCTGCCTGGTTCACAGACCACCAGGCACTCACCCTCCAGCAGGACAGGTTCTGATCCCTCTTGGGCCCATCCGGTCCCCAGGGCCACAAGCACCAGGGCCAAGGGCAGCCCTAGGCGGTGTAGGGGGGCTGATAGCCATGAGTGCTTTTCTCCCAACATGGCTAGTGCCTCTGCCACGCTCAAGTGTCCCTGTCTTCTGGCCCTGTCTGCTGCCTTTAAATTTTAGTCCTCTGTCTCAGGCTTGCTCCTCTATTCTCTCTCAGGTCCTTACTGTCACCTGGCCTCAGCACCTCCTCTCCATACTGTCCCACAGCTCCGCTCTGCCTCACTGGGTTTCCTCCTGCTGTCACTGTAGCTCCCTCCTCCTTGGCAGGGCATGAAGTGACAGCAAGCAGTTGAGCTCTGGGAGGGAGAGATGAAGATAGGTCTGGAGGGTGACTACCAGGGCTTTGGGGCTGCCCCCTGGATGGGAGAGCAGGGGAGGCTCAACCTAGGGTGATGGGGAACTCGTGTGTGTGTGTGTGTGTGTGTGTGTGTGTGTGTGTGTGTCTCACACACAGATGAAGGAAAAGAGGAGGAGGAGGAAGGGGAGGGGGAAAAAGGGGTAGGAAGAGGAGGAAAGGAGAAAGTTTCTAACTCCGATAGTCATTCTTTGGATCTATTTAATTTGATTATCTTGTTATCCTGAAATCGTTGTGTGAGGAGTTTCATTTAAAAGGTCAGTTTGTGAGTACCACCCATCTTGATCAATTTTAACGAATTTCAGAGGTTTAAACACAAAATCCCTCAAAAACCAAACTGCCCTTCTGGAAAAGCCTTTCCACTTGTTGGGGGGTCGTCCCTGTCACCCTCACGGTTGTTTTGGTGGCAAGTGCTGGGGCCAGTCTTGTGACCTCTGAGCTGTCACCTTATCTCTTTGGAACTTGGACAAGTGGTTCCTCCCCCTCACCCCCCGGGAAACACCTGCAAAAGCGTGCCGGGACACACGCGGAGTGGCGCGGAGGAGCTGGCGGGGAGGCCAGGGGGGCCGGGGGCCGTGTCTGGGGCTCGGGTTGCTGGGGCGACTGCAGGGGAGGGAGCGCGCGGTGGGCGGCGAGGCGGGACCATGGGGCCACCCCGGCCGGGGCGGAGCAGGGCTGACTCCGCCCCAGGCCAGGAAGTGACTGAAAACACCAACCCAGTTGAGTGGAGCAGTCCTGGTGGGGTGAAGAACCCGGCAAGGCCCGCCCCGATTCGGGCCCCCTGCCCTTGTCCCCTGGGCCAGGGGTGCGGGTGAAGTGGGGGGCCCGAGGGTACCCAGAGGCGCCGTCTGGACGGAGGCCGGAGCTGGCGGCTTTGTAGGGTAGGCGGGGCTCGGGCCGCGGTGGGCAGCGGGGGCCCTGCAGGGGAGGTGGGCGGGCCGGGGTGGAGCGCGGGGCCGGATCTCGTGGCTCGGTGGCTGGCCGCTGGGGGAGGGGAAGGAGGAAGGGGGTGAGGGAGGGAGGGGGGGAACGGAGGTGGGAGTGGCTAGAGGCGGGAAAAAGATTGGGGGCCTGAGGACTGCCCAGCTCCCGCGCCTGGCCAGGATCTGTCTTTGAGGACCTTGGATTTGAGGACTTGGATCAGTGTCGTCCACTCCTTTTGATCTCCAAAGGCTGGAGCCCCACCCCTTCTCTGCTCAGGGCTGTGGTCTCCATTGTCCTAAAGCCGTTGTCCATTCCACTTACCCGGGTGTACTCTTGGACTTCCTCTCTGGGGACACTGGCCCGTGGTGGGTGTGTGTGTGTGTGTGTGTGTGTGTGTGTGTGTGTGTGTGCGCGCGCGCGCGCGTGCGCTGGTCCTAAGCCTTGAACTCTGGACACTGTCTGAGATTTTTGTGCTCAAAGCTAGTGCCTTTAGTTTCTTGTTTTACCACTGTTTGTTTTCTTTTTGCTCTTCTTTCCTGTGTGTGCGTGTGCGCTAGTACTGGGGCTGGAACTCAGGGTCTGGGCATGAAAGAGGATCCCACACATCCATCCCAGGGGACCACGCAGAGGCAGACAGGCACAGGAGAAAGATTATAAGGTTCATTAGAGGAGTCCTATTTCCCCCAAGAGGGAGCACTTGGCCTCCGTCCCCATCTAGGTAGCAGGGGGTCTGAGGGGTAGGAAGTGAGGTGGCTGGGAGTTCAGGTGGGTCTGGGCCGGAGAGGGAGGGGCTAGCTGTTAGGAACTCCAGGAATTGGAGGGGACCAAAGGTGAGCACTATCCTTGGGCTCTTTTTCTTAGGGCTAGCTACCATTTGAGGCACAGCTTCACTTCCGGGGTTTTGGGAATAGTTCATTGAAGACAGTTTTTTGGGCTTTCCTGCGTGAGCTGGCTTCCTACTATGATCCTCAGATTACAGCCTCCTACGTAGCTAGGGTTAGGTAGCTAGGGTTAGGTGAGCCGTTTGGGGACTTGGTCCTGTGGTGTTTTGTAATACCACACCCTCCCTGCCCCCGGGGTAGATTCGTAGTGTTTTGCGGTTGTTTATGAGATGTGTAGGCCTGGAGGCTAGGATTTGGGTTGTGGGAAAGGTGAGAACCAGAGCTACCTTCTTTCTTCTTAGGACAGCAGAAAGAAGCCATGCTTACTTGGGGGGCTGCCTCCCTGACTCCAGACCGCTTTGCGGTGTCTGCTGAGGCAGAGGAGAAGGTTCGGGAGCAGCAGGCCTACTTGGAACACATTTTCAGTGTGAGAATGAGCATCCTCCCCAAGGACTGTCCGGAAAACCCTCACATCTGGCTGCAGCTTGAGGGCCCACAGGAGAATGTCAGCAGAGCCAAGGTGATCCTCCTCTCTGGTATTCCTGGAAGCGCCCGAGGTGGGGACCGGGAGGATCTCTGATTGGTTGCTTTACTGATAAGCTGTCCCTGAGCCCTTGGAGACTTCCCTGTTTTTCTTTGTGTAGAGTTTTGGTTTCACTTCTGTGACCCCACCCTGGCTGTTCCTGGACTCTGGGAGGAATCAATCTTTGCTCTTCTAGGAGGGAGTGGTTAATCCAGCTGAGCAACTGGGCTCCACCCAGGAATTTACTGGGGGGTGGGGTGGGAGCTGGGCCACATTACTTCCCTTCCTGTCAGCCTTGTGATTTGAATTTTGTTTCCTCATCTCCAAGATGTGAGTTATAGAAGTAGACATATTCCAGGCACCTCTGAGTCTAGGAGAGCATGAAGAAGGTGGTTTCCAGCATTTTCCTTTTCTGATCTTTCTCTCCAGGATTACCTGAAGGGTCTTTGCAGCCCAGAACTACAGAGTGAAATCCACTACCCACCCAAACTGCACTGTATCTTCCTGGGAGCCCAGGGCTTCTTCCTTGACTGCTTGGTTTGGCGCACCTCGGCCCACCTAGTGCCAGGGGCACCAGGCTCACTGAGGATCAGTGGCTTAATGGAAGCCTTTGTCATGGCTCAGAGCCTGGTGGAAGCCCTGGTGGGGAAGCTGAGCTGGGACTTTGAGCCACAGCCACACCTGCAAGCCTCCTCTGGTGCTGGGGGTGTGTTGAGAGATTTCTCTGCTCTGCTGCGGTGCCGGGAAGATGTCCATAGCGAGGCTCTCCTGCGGCTGCCTCTGGCTGTACAAATGGAACTGCTGAGTCTGGTGCAGGAGGCATCCAGGGGGCAGGGGCCACAAGCACTCCTCTCTTGGGAAGGGAGGACCCCAGGCCTGTGGGATGTTCAGAACCAAGGAGTCAAAGGGCTCCAGAATGAAGGTGGGAGGTCTCTGGACACTGCTGTGGCTGTGGGGCAGGAAGAATCTAAGGGAGCAAGAGTTAAGAGTCACACCGTGAAGGAGGGTGGGAAACAGGATGGCTCTAGAGGGATGGATTCGGGATGGAAGGATGTCACTGGGGAAGAGGCCTGGGAGAAATCAGAAGCTGTCAGGCCCCAGTCAACAGGTGGAGGAGCAGGGGAGGTTGGGTTCCTGCAAGGAAAAGTCCTGGGGAAGGACAGAGCACCTCAGGAAAGAGGAGGGATGAGTGTCCAGGGTGGCTCCTGGCAGAGGGCAGCTCCACCCTCTTTCCTCCATCACCTCCATAATGGGGAAGGCTCCTCTCCAAGAGTGCCTAGCCCCCCACCTGCGCCTGAACCCCAGTTGCCCAGTGGAGACCGAGGAAGAGATCGGAGAAACAGGGGAGACAAGCAGCAGGCTGTGGCTCGAAGTCGAGGAGGGTCTCCTTGGAAACGAGGCACACGTGGGGGCAACTTGGTGACTGGCACTCAGCGTTTTGAGGAGGCTCTACAGGATCCTTTTACCCTGACCCTTGCCAACGTGCCTGGCAACCCAGACCTCCGCCATATTGTCATCGATGGCAGCAATGTGGCCATGGAGTAAGTAGCTGTTGTATAGGGGTTGCAGAGTCCTGGGGAGGGAGGATGGTACATATATATATATTTGTCTGCCTTGGGGGACATGGGCTGAGGGGTCTGACCCCTCCTCTGGGTGTTGAGTGCAGAACCCCCACTTCAGGCATGGCCGCCAGCAGTATTTCTCCAGTCGGGGCATCGCCCTTGCTGTGCAACACTTCTGGGACCGTGGGCACCGAGATATAACGGTCTTTGTGCCTCAGTGGCGCTTCAGTAAGGATTCTAAGGTCAGAGGTGAGTTGGGTCTGGTCATCTGGATCTGGGATAGGCCCTATTTCCACTTGGAGGAGAACCCTTTTGTATTTTTCTTTTTCTCTAGAGAGTCACCTCCTGCAGGAGCTGTACTCCCTCAGCCTGCTGTCCCTTACCCCCTCCCGAGTTGTGGATGGCAAGAGGATCTCCTCCTATGATGACAGGTACTTGCTGTTTGCCTGGCCCCCAGGTTTCATATTTAAGGAGCCCAACGTGAAGTTGAGGGAGAAAGAGACGTTCCTGATTGCTCTTTAATCCTCAGTAGTAGACAGTTAATCTCCAGATGGAATACAGAAAAAACATGCTTGGGCAGTCATCATTTATTTTTCATTCAGTGCCTTGCTGTCTAGAAAATACTAGTTTAGCCGGGTGCTGGTGGCTCACGCCTGTAATCCTAGCTACCCAGGAGGCTGAGATCTGAGGATTGTTCAAAGCCAGCCTGGGCAGGAAAGTCCATGAGACTCTTATCTCCAATTAACTACGAGAAAACCAGAAGTGGTGCTGTGGCTCAAGTGGTAGAGTGTTTGCCTTGAGCTAAAAAGCTGAAGGACAGTGCCCAGGCCCAGAGTTCAAGCCCTACGACTGACAAAAGTGGAAAAAAAAAAATCCTGGTTTAGTTTCCAAATGTAGAGAAATCTGGGAAAACATTCTGGGAAAACTAGGGTAGACACTCCCAATAAGTAAAATGAAGAAGTAATATCCACAAGTAACAGGACTATACAAAACTTTGAATATTAGAGAGCTTGATGATGGACTTAGGTTAGAGGATCTGAGCCAGGTGCTTGTGGCTCACACCTGTAATCTTAGTTACTCAGGAGGCTGAGATTGGAGGATCACGGTTTGAAGCCAGCCTGAGCAGGAAAGTCCATGAGACCCTTCAATAACCAGCAAAAAAGCTGAACGTTGAGGTGTGGCTCAAGTGGCAGAATGACAGCCTTGAATGAAAAAGCCAAGTGAGAGCATGAGACCTTGAGTTGAAGCCCAGTATAAGCATACTCACGTGCGTGCATGCGTGTGTGTCCACGCGTGTGCGCACGCGCGCGCACACACACACATGACACACATGCGCGCACACAAAAACTGGAAGATCTGAATTTGTGCCCCACATTTTGCTACTCATTGGCTTTTTCTTGTTGGCTCATCTTTATATGAGTCGATCTCTTTGTGGCTGGATCCTTCCCCACTTGTCTACCTTTCTTGTGTATTTCCAAGGACGATAACATATGTGCTTACCCGCTTACCTCCCTCAAGAGTCCAGTGATTTTCTTTCTGAACGTGTTGCATGGACATAGCCTAGTGATGTGTAAAATACTATGTGTTATAGATGTGGAGATCCAGAGTAAGAATAGGTAAACCTTCACAAAGGAAAAATAGATCTTAAAGCTGCCAGATGGGTTAAATAGAAAATACAGGCCAAATATGTATGTGCGTGCATGGCATGGGAAATGTGCAGATTTTTAAAGTGAATTAGCCAGTTTCAGACTTTGCCACTACAACTTCTTTATTCCTTAGAACATTATTCAGTTTAAAAATACCAGTTTCCAGCGGGGCGTGGGTAGTTCATGCCTGTTATCCTTAGCTATTTTGGAGGCTTAGATTGGAAGGATCTTAGTTCAAGACCAGTCTCAGCATAGACCTTTTAAAACCCCTTCTTAACCAAGAGCGGGGCATGCCTGTCATCTCACTTCCATAGGAGTCTAAGATTGGGAAGATTTTAATTTCAGGCTAGCCTGGCACAGAAAATTCTTCAAGACTGTCTCAGTGAATGAATCTGGGCATGCTAGCACAGGTCTGTCATCCCAGCTACAATGGGAAAAGCACAGGTCTGTCATCCTAGTTATACTGGAAACATAAACTAGGTAGATTACAGTCTAGGTATAACCCTGGACAGAAAATGAGACCTTACCTCAAAAATAGTGTGAAAGGGCTGGGATATAGCTCAGTGGCCTAGTAGCTCAGCTTGCCTAGCAAGCGAAATGTCCTGGGTTTACTCCCCAGTACTAAAAAGGAAAAGACAAAAACAAAAAACAGTTAAAAAAAACCCTCAAACAAAAATAGTGTAAGAAAGGGCTAGAAATATGGGTCAGCAGTAACTAGAATGCCTGTCTAATAAGTGCAGGTCCCTGAGTTCAAGCCCTAGACTTGCCTCCCTCTCCCCCCCCCCCCCCCAAAAAAAAAGAAAATACTTTCCAAACTGTAATGGTTATATGTTGTCTTGTCAAATGCCTTAGTTTTTTTTTTTTTTTTTTTTTTTAACAAACAAATGGTATTCTACTGAAAGGCAGTTCACTTTCTCCTGCTTTTTTTTTTTTTTTTTTTTTGCTAGTCCTGGGGTTTGAACTCAGGGCTTGGGCACAGCCCCTGAGCTTCTTTTGCTCAAGGCTAGCACTTTACCACTTGAACCATAGCGCCACTTTAGGCTTTTTCTGTGTTATGTGGTACTGAGTAATCAAACCTAGGGGTTCATGCATGCAAGGGAAGCACTCTACCACTGAGCCACATTCCCAGCCCCCTACTGCTGTTTTTTATGCCTAAATTTTACAGTTTATTTTAGATGGAGTGGTCTTCAAATCTTCATCTTTTGTCTCTTAGCCTTGGGGCTTGAACTCAGGGCCTGGGCACTGCTCCTGAGCTTTTGTGCTTAAGGCTAGCACTCTACCACTTGGGACCTAGCCTACTTCTGGCTTTTTTGATGTTTAGTTCGAGATAAGAGTCACATGGACTATCTTGCCTAGGCTAGCTTCAAACCTTGATCCTCAGATTTTAGCCTCCAGAGTAATCCCGATATTTCAGCCTCCTGAGCAGCTAGGGTAACAAGTGTGGGCCATCAGTGCCTGGCTGGTTTTATTTTCACATTAGTATTAAAATAGAATTGAATCTGTAGGCTGAGTCAGATTTAATGAATTTAAAATGTGTCTGTGTAACAAGTAACGGAAACTAGCCTAACAGCTATAAGCATTGACTGAGTAGATTCACCTTTATTTCTTCTTTAACCTACGGTACTCTTGTAGTCTACTGAATAAACACTGATTAACATATCAAAACACAGTAATTGTAAAGTTCAGTAACCAGAAAATCCCTTTTGTGTACTGTGCATACTGTAGTTATCTTGGCCATTTATTTCCCAGAGAGAACCCAGCATCTCTCACAGCTAATCCTGGTTCTAGGTCCCCTCAAATATTGTCACTCATCCTCAAATATTGAGAATACTCTCTTCATACATGGTTTTCAGAAGGAAAGCTGAGAAGACCTGATTTTTTTGGTTTGGGTACTGGGGCTTGAACTTAGGGCTTGAGCACTGTCCCTTCAGCCTTTTTACTCCAAGCTGGCACTCTTTCACTTGAGTTACACCTCTACTTCCAGCTTTTTTGTGGTTAATTGGAGATAAGAGTCTCATGGAATTTTCCTGCCCAAGCTGGCTTTGAACCTCCATCTTCAGATCTCAGCCTCTGGAGTAGCTAGGATTACAGGTGTGTGCCTCTGACACCCAGCTTCAAGACCTGATTCTTGATGTTAGAGAGCCAAAAGAAAATATAAAGTCAAACACTAAAGGAACTCTGAGGAAAAGGAGCCTTCTTCCTACTGGAATTTTGTAGAAGGAGAGGTTTCTGACTTTTTTGTTGGTTAAGAAGGATAGATAGGCTAGATCTCTTGTATTGTAAATCTGTTGACCCCTCCCACCAGTTTAATCATTACTACCCTGTAGAATCAGGATTACTGAAATGGGGGTCAGCATCATTGCTTACTAGCCAGATTTGGGAAGCTCTTTCCAGATACAGGGAATAGACTGAGAAACAGGGAAGTCAGACAGCAGTGACTGGAGAGCAAGGTATAATCTGGTCAATTTTGGCTGGAGTACACCAGGAGAGAGAAGGCTATAAGGATGGCACGTAGCTTGATTTTAGAGGCCCCTAGCTGGACTTGGGAGATGAAGGACAAGTGTAGAAGAGCTCTGGGTAGGGCAATAGGTTTTGTGGAGGAGGACAGGTAACTAGAAGTAACTAGTAAAAATTAAGAGGCAGTTGAATTGTTTAGGATGCTGTGTACATTTCACTTGTAATAGCCGAGCCACTCGAATGGTAATAGTGGAACTGGAGGGCAGTGTGGAAGTCTTTTCAGGAGAAAAGCATGTTTGATTTGTGAGTGATTGATGAGGCATACAGTAGAAGACAATGATAACCAGATTTTAACTGCGGAAGTGATGCTATTGGGATACCATGTTGGATTTACCTTTGTTTTCTTACCTGTGACATCTGTGTTTAGCTGTCACCTGTCATTGGGTCTAGGAAAGGTGAGGGGGGTCAGATTTCCATCACCAGAAATGGGTCACAGGAGTTGATAGCCCTCTTTGGTGTTGGGGACTTGGAAAATCCCCAAATGATTGCCTTGATTTTTAAAGGAAATATATAGAATGTTTTGGTAATTTGTAATTTACTGTTACTTTAATTGCATGTATTTAGAGATGTCAGTGTTATAATCTGATAGATACAATGTGAAATCATTAAACCATGGCTTATCTTGCTAATGCATTTTTAAAATGACTGATGTGTTAATTCATCTGAGCACTACAGCACTGATGCATGGCTGGCTCTTCTCAAGTTTAGTGCTGTACTCAGTCCTGAAAGTGTGATTATCTTACTGCAGCAGGCCTTCTTAACTTGGGATTATGGATATTATGGGTGAGACAATTCTTCATTGAGGGGGATGCTCTGCATAATATAGGATACACAGCTACATATCTAGATCTATCAATTGGATGCCAGCATCATCATCCACCCTGGCTCTCTGACATCTATGACAAATACATCTCCAAATGTGGCCAACATCCCTTATGTTTTTCTTGATTTCTGACAGGTTCATGGTGAAGCTGGCTGAAGAGACCAATGGGATCATTGTCTCCAATGACCAGTTTCGGGACCTGGCTGAAGAGTCTGACAAGTGGATGGCAATCATCAGAGAGCGGTGAGGGAGCTCTCGCTTGAGAATAGGGCACGGATTCAGGCCTTTTCTCTAAAAGCAGCTCTTCTCTGGCTACTGGGTGAGAATTCTGGGAAGGGCTTGAAGGTGCCTCAAAGGATGATAGCCAGTGGTTTCTGGTGGTGTTGGTCCCAGCTGTCTGGGAGGTGTTTGGGGGCACCTTTGTGACAATATTTCCCTTTCTTTGTCTAGACTGCTGCCCTTCACTTTTGTGAAGAACCACTTCATAGTCCCTGATGACCCACTGGGGCGAAATGGCCCAACCCTGGACAAATTTCTAAAGAAGCCAGCCAGGTTTGTCCCTTTCTCTGTTAAACGGGGAGGCTTGGGTAGGAATTTCAGTTTGGGCCACCTTAGATAAGCCTTTAAAAATGTTCACAGAAGCCAGGCATTAGTGGCTCACACTTGTAATCCTAGCTACTCAGGAGGTGGAGATTGAGGTTCACAGTTCAAAGCCAGGCTGGACAGAAAAGTCCATGAGATCTTATCTCCAATAAAATATTCAGAAAAAGCTGAAAGCTATGCTTTGGCTCAAGTGGTAAGAGTGCTAGCTTGAGCACAAAGAGGCTCAGGGAGAGAGCCCCGGCCCTGAGTTCAAGCCCCAAGACTGGCAAAAACCATAAAACAACCTTCACAGAGCTTTCTGGTATCTTCGTGATTGGGAGAGAAACTGTTTCTTGTTTCTCCTAATCTGTTTGGCAGTTATTTGGCAGAGAATTGCTTGAACTGATAGCCAGTTGTACTCAGCACACCCTCTTCTAGCCATTAAGTGATTAATTTGGAAACAGAAGTCCATCATATAGTCAGAATTCACCTTCCTGGTTTCAAAGGCTGCTCTCCTCATCCAAGTGGATGGATACTGCCACTCAGTGGTCAAAATCAGGAACTTCACTGCTGCTTCCTGAGAACTAGGAATAGGCAGCCAATTTCAGACTGAGGAGGTCAATTGAAGGCTAATTTCCTTTTTTCTTTCTTTCATCTGAGACCAGGACTTAAACTTGTACCTGATAGTTCCACTCATTGGCTAGTGCTCTACCAACTGAGCTATGCCTCCAACCCCTGAAAGCTAATTTCCCTCCAGGATGCTCATCACCTCTTCTTGTTCTCCTTTTTCCCAGGCAACAGGAGGCTTCTAAGGCTCAGCATCCTTCTAGGAGCTTTGCAGAACATGGTAATAAGCAGCAGGAGAGGGAAGAGGAAAAGGGAAGGAGGGAAGAGGAAAAAGCCAGTGGTGGCATTCGGAAGACCCGGGAAACAGAGCGGCTCCGGCGCCAGCTGTTGGAGGTGTTTTTGGGTCAGGATCACAAAGTGGATTTCATCCTACAGCGGGAGCCATACTGTCGGGACATTAACCAACTGTCTGAGGCCCTGCTGAGTCTGAACTTTTAAGCCTACCTGCCCATGTGGCTGCTGCCCTGCTAGCTAACCCCAGCTTCTCCCAACTCAGTGCCTTCTGTGACAAGTTCCTTTGCTGCTCGGACTTTGACTCAAGACACACTTGGAGTTGGTGCCTTGAGGAAGCATTAGGAAGAGGAGTGGGGGGAATGCTCTTGCCTGGAGCATTGGGACAGCTCCCTAAAGTGACCTCATCTTGAGTCAGGACCTCAAGCAGCTCTTGAGAGGTTCTTCTCAAGTCTTTTCTACCTTGTCTTAGCACAGGGTTTTTTGTAGGGAGTGTGGGACAGTTCCTACAAATCTGGATTATTGGCTCCAACCTCAAGCTGAGTAGAAGCTAGTGGACAGGATGCTTATCAGACCAGGTAGTGTCTTGCGAGTATCACAGAAAATGCTGGTTTTAGATGGGCTGGGTTGCAGGGGTTACAGCAGGTCGCTGGGGAAAAGGCAAAGTAGGCCTTCAGCCTCAGCTGTGCTCATTTGGGATGACTGGCCTTTATTTCTGCCTTTAAAGAGTAGGAGTAGAAAATACCCTGCTTGTGGCTGCACAGGCTCCCTAGCCAAAACCTCACTTTTCGAGCATTTGTAGGCCAAGTCCAGGGCTGTGCCCTCTACATGTGTCTTCAGTATAACTTCCCCTAACAGTTGTGTCCCTTTTGGATAACCTTCAAATCTACATTTACAAAATAGTTAAGGCAACTGTTTTCCTTATCAATATACTCAGGGTTCCTATAATGTGTTTGTTCAGAGAATAACAAATATGTCACCAAGTCCCTGGTAAAATCCTCTTGCTGTAGTGTTTACAGGGTATTTACCAAATTGATGCAATTTTGTGCTCTGCAATGACAATGTGAGGGTGATCTGCCCCACAAATTTTCTTCACGGAAGACAGAGGGTGCACAAGGTGACCAACACTTCTGCTGTGTGTGTATATACTGTGATGGTTTAGACAAACCAATTATCCAGAAAATGAAAACAAGAATCAAGAGTCAGAAGGTGCCTGATTAGCTACCAAACCAATTTCACTGTCACATGACATGCCTTCTCTATCCTGATTGCTGTAAGTCATTTCCATGTCTCTGCTTAAGTTCTCCCTGTGCCACGGATTTGCTACCTTAAATGTAGCATATTCTTCACACAGGCAATATTAATCAGTAGTTCTTTTTTTTTTTTTTTGGGTCCGGTGGTGGGGCCTGAACTCTGGGCCTGGGCGCTGTCCCTCAGCTCTTCAGCTCAAGGCTAGCGCTCTACCACTTGAGCCACAGCTCCATTCCAGCTTTTTTCTTTTTGCTTATGTGGTGCTGAGGAATCGAACCCAGGGCCTCATGGATGCAAGGCAAGCACTCTACCACTGAGCCACCTTCCCAGCCCTTAATCAGTAGTTCTAACATAGACTAAAATATGCTTTTGTTACTTCTTCCTTTGAGGCAAGTCATGCCCTAGAATAATACAGAGCCAGCCACTTCTTAGAGTCTTAAGAGAGAAGATGGAATGGATGTCCCTGGATTCTGTTCTGTTTGTGCCCTGTATCAAGTTCCTGAATAAGATCCAATTTTTAGGCTCTGACTTCTACTTCCTTTACTGGCACAGGGACTTGAATACTGTACAGGGAGCTGAATGATGGGGGAAAAGGGTCTTTGGTCCCAGTATTTTTGCTCTTAAGATTTACATAGCTAGATCATATTGACTTGGGCAGGTGTACTAGACAGTTTGGTCAGGGAAATGCAGTGAGTCTCCAGTATCCTGGGAAAGAAAGGAGATTGGTTAATTTGGTCTGAACTGGGGGAATTGCTTCTGGCTAAGTTGTGGCAGCTATAACAACTTTAGATAAAGAAGGTTCTAGATGAGCACTTTTATTTTTTTCCTGATAGGGTTGAGTTTGTAATTCATGATAAGTTATCTGCCCTTTTCACTTTCCACGTGGTTGGTATACAATAAATAGGCCAGAAGTATCTTCTGCCCTTTTGTGCTGAGGGCCCTAGTCCACTGAAGTGGCCCTAATCAGTTGAGAGGCAATCATAGCCTTCTTACAGTCTGGAGAGTTGGCTTTACCTACTACTGCCTTTGTGATAGAAGTTGAAGGTGACCCATACTGGATCTTTGTCCCTTCTTTTGCTGGTATCTTGATGGTGTTCTGTGAACAGGTTTGCAAGGTTGTCATAATTCCTACTCTCTACCTTTATCCTAACTTCATACTTCCTATTTGTGACCAACTCTTTTGATAACATTAACCAAGAAAGGAAAGTGTGAGGAGAATATTACTTACTATAACTTTCAAGAACCCATGCTGGGAAGAGTCATCTAATATGACATCCTTGAAATAAATTCCAGGAGGATCTGGCTAAAGAGATAAGCTGAAGCTAGTGAGATAATTTATCTTTATTGCCAAAAGTGCAAAGCAGTCTCTATATAACTTAAAGAATTGGGACAACCATGTAGAGAAACCAGACTTGGGCATTCTTTTATAAGGAGCTGAAGAGGTCAGGGTCTGAACTTCATGACTAGCTGTGGAGTTTCTCAGTAAGATGGAGCAACAGCACAATGGGGAAGAAAGTTGTGGGAGAAGCCTCCCTAAGAATCACCCGCACCTATTCACAGTATCTACTGGGCACAAGCCTCAACTCCTGCTGTGAACCTCCCTACTTACGATGCTACGACTTCCTTCAAGGCAGTCCCCAGCTCTGGGAAGGAATATCGGTAGCCACTGGCCAGTGTCCGCCGGGGGACCACCTTCTGGCCCTCCAGCAGCATGATGGCACGCTCCCGCCCAAAGATAGCTTGCACCACAGAGGTGGGGACAGGGATGAAGGCTGGGCGGCCCAAAGCAGCACCCAAGGCCCGGGCAAACTCAGCATTAGTAGTGGTGGAGGCTGGAGCCACTCCATTCAAGATCCCATGCACACGGCTTGTTTCAAGGGCATGGGTCAGGATTCCTGCCAGGTCCCCGATGTGAATCCAAGGGAAGAACTGGTGGCCTGAACCGATGGGACCTCCCAGGCCCAGACGGAAGGGCAGCAGCATATGGCCGATGGCACCACCCCCACGGCCCAGCACAACTCCTAAGCAGGCAAAAGAGATGGCATTGGGAAGCCAGACCACCTTCATTTTTCCCTCCCCCCCCCCCCCCATATGGTGACTTAACTGTAAGAGTGAAGGACTTTGGCTCTTGGGCTTCCCATCCTTCCCTCTGCAAGTTGGCCAAAAGCCATGACTCCCTCTCTTGCTCTCCCCATCCCCGTGTCCCTTACCACAGGCCAGAGGTCATTCTACCTTGCCTGGTACCCAGGCCCTTGATTCTCACCAGAGCGTACCACCACCTGGCGTGTAGAATCTCCGGGAACCTTGGCTGCAGCTTCCCATTTGGTTACCAGGTTGGAGAAAAAGTCAAAGTCCCCTCCTGGGCTGTCCTCATCATACTCGGCAGTCAGGCTGGGTTGGTAGTATGCTGTGGGTGAAACATGATTGGTTTGCTCTGGGTATCCTGTACGTTTCTAGTTAAGGCTCCACTTGGCCTCACTGTCTTTGCCCCTTGCGGAGAAAGCTACAGCTATTTTTACTTTGCGTTTCTCCTTGACCTGACTTGTACCTTCCTGTTAGAAGTCTTATCTTTGGCTGCCAAGAGTGGTTAACAGAAACCTGGATCAGGCAGCATGGATTTTAATTCCTGCTCTATCACTGAACTCTGACATTTGGTAAGTTACTTTGCCTGTTTGTATGGAAGTCTTGTATTTTTATAGTGGGAATAATAGTACCTACCTCAGAGGGCTGTTACAAGGAAATGATGTGATGTATATAAAACACTTAAGAATAGTGACTGATATGTGCGTTATAATTCTTTGCAATTATTTGTTCCCAAAGGTGACAACAGGTCTTCTGTTCCTAAAGAACTGTAGTGCAAAAACACTTGAGTCGTGTTTCCCTGAAAACAGGAACGACACTAATTCCTCCTCCCCTCGCAGGTCTCCCAATTTTCAGTTAAAAGTACCCAGAGGCGCGGAGAAACATGCATGTAGGAAAGGCCCAGAAGTTATTGTGTCTGGAAAACAACAGTTTTCTGGGGGTGTGTACAGCCTAAAGGCCTCGATTACTCTCTCTGCTCCCTTCTTTCCCCTAGTTAATGTAGGTAGTTGGTGATTTGGGGGGGGGGGGGGGGGTGGAGCATACCTACACCTGTGACTATGATCCAGGCCTTTGGGGGTTGTGGGGCGTTCGCGATGGCGTTAGCCAGAGTTTGGGTGGTCTCCAGTCGGCTGCGGAGAACCTCTTTTTGGAAGGCTTCATTCCACCTGCAGGACAATCATAAGAGGATGTAAAAGTCCACAAGTAGTCGTACAGCGTACACACATAGACTTGTCCCTCCCTCTCCAATCCCTGGGGGGTCTCGCTGGAGGATGGGGTGAGGGACCGGCTGACCTTCGGAGGGGGTTGAGGATGTTCTCCCCGGCCAGGTTGACCGCAGCATCGCAGCTGGGCAGCCCGGAGCTAGCGAGCTCATCCTAAAGGAGAAAGCAACACAGTGCCCCTCAGCCCCGCCCCCTTCCCGCCCGCCCCGCCCCCTTCCCCCTGCCCCCTCCCTCCTCCTTCCCCCTTGCCCTCCCCCCCCCCCCCCCCCCCCGCCGGTTCCCGCCCCCCCGGGCTCCCAGGCCGCCCTCCGCGTACCCACGTGATCCGGCCCGGCCCGGGCTTCCGGGACACCAGCGTCACCTCGTGGCCCCTGGCTTTCAGCAGCTGGGTCAGGGCGGTCCCCACGAAGCCCGTGCCGCCGCCTGGTCCGAGAACACAAAAACCGTTTCAAACGTCCCCGCCGCCCGACCCCGGGCCTGGCCCTTTCCCTCCCCGCCATGCCGAGGTGACCCGCGTCACCCGACCCCAGGGATTCCGCTTCTTGGGTTAGGAGGCCAGGGTCGCGTTTTCAGTGCGGGAGGCAGCGTTCTCTCCACCTGGGACGCCGGCCCTCAAACTCTAAGCCGAGCCCGCCCCGTACTCTCCCTCTGCCCGCCCTCACCCACGAGCACCCGCATAGCGACCGGGAGCCAGAGCGCACGCGCAACACAACCCCCTCCCCCCCCACGCTGCGCGGCTGGACGCTCGCGGCCGCTCGCGCATGCGCTCTACCCCGGGGGGGGCGGGGGGGGGGGGAGAGAAGCCAGACTGGGCGGGTCAAAAGGTCTGGGAAACCGGGCCGCGTGCGGGGAGCGCTTTCCTCCGGAGAGACAAACGTGAGCCCGCAGACTCCGGGTTACCCAGTCCGTACAGTTCTGGATGTCCACTCATTGTGGGGTCTGTCATCTGAGGACCCCTGTCCCCTTCCTCACCGCTCTCGTCTCTCCTGGGGGTTAGCTGTTCCAGACTTCCTCTCTGCGGTTATTTTGTGCGGGCCCTGGAGCTGGAACGCAAGGTTCGGGTGCTGTCCTTGGGCCCTAGGCTCACGGCCCACCGTTCCACTTCCGACTGGTTAATTGGAGATAAGAGGTTCATGGACTTTCCTGTCCCGGCTGGCTTTGAACCTCGATCTTCAGATCTCAGCCTCCCCAGGTGCATCAGCAAATATCTGGCTCTGGGTAAAGCATTCCGTTCCGGGCTTGACCATGAACCCCTGGATTTCCACAACCTGGAGGGGGAGAGGGGGACATTCTAGGTCTAACTACAGGTCTCCATCTACCCCGGTTTCGAGAAAAACTATGTCCTGTGTACTGCACCAGCCCCCTTGTGCCACGATCTGCTCCCTTGAATCACCAACTATCCCGGCCTCAGGCTGTGACACCACCTCCAATCCCGCGGGAAGGAAGGCCACTCCTGGCTGTGCCTCAATAAACAGTCTTCACCCGTTGAATCCGGTCTTCTCCATTTTCCTCACACCGAGTAGCTAGGATTACAGGTGTCAGGATTACACGTGAGAACCACTGATGCCAGGCTCCTGTCTTCTCAACACTCCTTAGCACTGTGTTTTGTCTGTTCGTGTGTGTGTGTGTGTGTGTGTGTGTGTGTGTGTGTGTGTGTGTGTATTGGGGCTTGACCTTAGTGCCTGTGCATGTCCTTTAGCTTTTGTGCTCAGGGCTTGAGTCGCAGCTCCACTTCAAACTTTTTTTTTTTTTTTTTTTTACTAGAGAGAAGAGTATTACATGCTTCTTAGGCCAGAGGTGGCTTCTAACCACGAGGCCACACTGCATCAGGTCTTCATGTTTTTCTTATTTTCATAAGCTTTTTTGTTTTTGTTTTTGTAGGTTAGCTTCATTTTCGGGAAGAGTGGCTTCCTTAAGAGCAAAGATGGATTCTTGGCTTCTGTTTCCATCAATGCAATCATCTTAGGATTGACTGTTGTTGACCCATTAAGGATCCATATCCTCTTTCAACCAACCATTCTGGCCAAGTAGGAAGGGTTCTAAATGGCCAGGAATAGGTCATATGTCTATTACTAGAGCAGAGGTTCACCGGTTACTATTCACCATTGTAGAAACCCAACTATGCTTCCTCACCCACATACTCTAGTTATTGACAACCCTTTCCTTTTTCTCTGGGCTTTATCTTTCCTTTCAATGAATTTGGGGGTGGCATGAGACAAGTTCTTCTAAACAGATAGACGAAGACAGTGGCCTGTTAGTAATCTTATACAGGTAAGATAGGAACCCTGTGCCCAAGGTACAATAGAACGGAGCTGCAATCCCAGAGACCAATTCTGGATCTCCAAGGAGGTTGATGGGTAACAGGCTCTTCCTGCTTCTTCTCTAAGCCCCTTAAAGTTTTTCATTTTCCAGGTTCTGAGAATTAGGAGGATCAACTTTTCTTTCTGTACCTGCGTTTACAACTGAAGTATTTAAGTTTAATTATTTTCAGCTCTCATAGACCATTTGGCACTTAATAGTCTATTAAACTTCGAATCACACAGCAAGACACAAGAACATTCTCTCTGAGTGGATGGGAAAGAGAAGTTTCTTTGCTTTGTGGGAAGTGAGGAACTGAGCCAGGTCATCTCTTTGGAGGATAGGAAGTCATCATGGAGCAGGATTCTGGCTGCAACTTTGGCTTAGGCCAGGGAAGGGTAGAGTAGGGCTGCTATCCCTTGTCTGTGCCTTCTCTAACAGTGTAGCTGCCCTTTGCTTCATTTTACAGACAGGTTTTGTGAGACTCTAGATGTTACTTGATAGGTGTTATTTATATTGTTGTCATCATTTAATATAGTTTCTGATGAAACTATGGTAGAACTACAGTGAGTAAATGAATCAACCCAGCAACAAACCCACCAAAATTTCAACTATGGAGACATATCAGATAAAGAATATTATTATTAATATAATAATATTGTTATTTCTAAAAAATGATCTTCTTTGACCCTGGATTCTGGGGCATAGCTTGCCCCTTGCCTTCTGGAGATGCCAGCCTCTTCAGGGTTGCACTTTCCTTCTACATGAAGACTTCAGATGCCGCCCTTCCTATTGGATCCAGACATCTGATCCAGACATCCAGACAGATACCCTTGGCTGAGATCTGCTTCAGAAACCCACAGCAATGAATGAGCAATGGGCTAAGAATTTCCTTTCTGTGTGCCCTTCCAGTATTGTAAAGGAAGGGGTGGGGAGGGAGAGGGAGACAGAGGTGAGAGGGACAAAGGAAGAGAGAGAGATGAATGTATTGATAGTGGTCTTTGGACAGGCTATGGCTGAGGAGCACTGTTCAGTTAGAGCACTACTTGCCGCCAGAGGCTACAGTAGCCCAGATCTTCTATTTCCATTCACTCAGAGAATTTGAGGCAGTACACCCTTGCCACTGTTGTGGCCCTGGGCTTTAAAATCGACATTAAAAGACTTTTCCTCGGTTTATTTTCCTCTGGCCCTAGCACAGACCTCTGAAATTATGGAGAAAGCTCTTCCCACCAGAGTGGTCATGGCCCTTCAGGAGGAGGCAGAGCAAGACTGGGCCCCAGGAGATGGCCCCAGGGAAATGTAACCAAGGGGACTATAGAGCAGCTCTGCCTGGCCAGGCCTGTGCAGGGAGGAGGGCTGCTTCTCACATCTCTGGATCGCAGACATGATGATGGAAGAGCCTGTTTTTCTCTCTGCACTTCAATAACAAGATGCTTGGACTCAACGTGGAGAGGAGGCAGCTTGGAAATCCTCATACACGCACATGTGCATGTTTGTGAGTGTGTATGTATATGTGGGGTGTGTGCACTGAACACAGGGGATGAAGTCTGTAGCCCTAAGCAGTATTGAGGTAATGCTAACTAAGGCTGGTTCTTATTTTGTCTTCTACCTTCTGCCCACTTAGTTCACATTTTTGTTTCTTATGCCAATTCTACGGCTTGAACGCAAGGCCTGGGTGCTGTCCCTGAGCTTTTTTGCTCAAGATTAGTGTTCTGCCACTTGAGCCACAGCTCTGTTTCTTGCTTTTGGTGATTGTCTAATGGGCTTTCCTGCCCAGGCTGGTTTCAAGCCTTGATTCTTAGATCTCCTGATAGGTGGGATTGCAGGTGTGGGCCACCAGTGCCTGGCTTATAGTTATGATTTTTTTTTTGTCGGTCATAGGGTCTGAACTCTGGGCCTGGGCTTAAACTCAGGGCATAGGTGTTGTTCTTGAGCTTTTTTTTTTTTTTTTTTTTTCTGCTCAAGGCTAGTACTCTACCACTTGAACTGCAGGCTTTTTTGGTAGTTAATTGGAGGTAAGGGTCAGAATTTCCTGCCCAGGCTGGCTTCCAACCTTGATCTGCATATCTCCCCAAGTAGCTAGGATTACAGGTGTGAGCCTGGCAAAGTAAGCCAGACCCAAAGAAAAGTAGGTTGTATGGGTTCCCTCATTTGTCATAACTAGAATATGTCTTTGATATTCTTTTTTTTTTTTTGGGGGGGGGGTCCTGTCGTGGGGCCTGAACTCTGGGCCTGGGCACTGTCCCTCAGCTCTTCAGTTCAAGGCTAGTGCTCTACCACTTGAGACACAGCACCACTTCTGGCTTTTTTCTTTTTGCTTATGTGGTGCTGAGGAATTAAACCCAGGGCCTCAGGCATGCAAGGCAAGTACTCTACCACTGAGCCACCTTCCCAGCCCCCTTCAATGCTATTTTGATTTGTATTTCCTTCATAGTCAGGGCTGTTGAACATTTTTTCCTATATTTATTAGTCATTTGTATTTCTTTTGAGCATTGTTCATTAATTTGCTCATTTATTAATTGGGTTGTTTGTTCTTTTGGAGTTCAGCTTTTTTGAGCTCCTCATATATTCTAGTTATTATTCACCTATCATATATATCTGGCAAAGATTTTTCTCCCATTTTGCAAGCTGTCTCTGTTCTAGTGTCTTTCTACTCTCCTGTCTACCCACCTACCCTCAGCCCCAGAAGATTTTAGTTGGATGCAATCTCATTTGCTGAGTTTTCAGAGTCTTAACCAGGAAGCCTATGCTTCTGTTTCTCTGTTTTCCTCTATTAGTTTCAAAGTTTCAAGTTTTGCATTCAGGGAAAATGGAGTTTTTGCAGGAAAGCCAGAGTTTATTTGCAGGGGTGACAGTGACTCTCCTCCACCCTGCTGAAATAGTTCTTGCCAGCCATCTTCACTTGGCTGAGTTCATAGATCTCATTTCTGACCTGCATGTACTCTGCCTGCTGTCACATTTGTTTAAGCACCTTTTTTCACTTAATTTCCATGTTATGTTCTTCCACCTCTTTCTTACCTTGTTAGCCAATCTTCAGTCCCTTTGCTGGTTTTGATTGTTTCCTCCTCATGTCTAGACTCTGAAACACTCCACCTCTGTTCTTGGACCTTTTCTTTATGTATACTACTTACATGCCAGTATGAATTGTTTAAAAATAGTATCCTGTAACTCCTAAATTTATGACTCTCCGCTTTGATCCCAAAGCCCCTTTCCCTGAAATCTAGAATCCACATCTCCATGTAGACTGTTAAAAGCATGTAAATTTTATATGTCCCAGATTATACTCTAGATTTCCCTGACCCCAAACCTATTTTTGCTTTTTAAAAAATTAGTTCTCCCGGTCTTAGCAAATGGGACTTGTAGTTTTTCTATTTGCTGAGGAAAAATTTAAAGTCACCTTTGACTCCTCCATTTTTCTCCCAGAGCTGATCTGT